GGGGCCAAAGGCAGGAGCGCGGGACTGGCCGGCGCGGACCCCCGTCGCAGGCGGGCTCCTCGGGCCCTGGCTGTCGCCCCCTCACCTCCGTCGGACATCCCGTTCCCAGCCCCAGGATGCGCCCTTCCGGCTCGGACGGTCCGCCCGGTCGTGCACTGTCGGGAAGGGTGGGGGTCTCAGCGTTTCCTCCGTCTCCTTCCCGGGGAGCGCGTTCCCAGGAGAGAGGTGGGGGTGTCTGTGGCCGCCAGGGCTGTCCTGCTGTCCCTCTCCGCTCCTGACTCTTCCCTCCGGCACCCCACTTTCCCCCCACCGCGGGCGCATACCCAGAACCGCGGAGACACCCCGGAGGCGTGGGGACCTGGACAGTCCTGCTTCCCTCCCGCGGGCTCCTGCTCCCCAAAGCTCCCCAGCAGTATCCTAGTTACCCCGGTTTCCCCGGAGGGGCCTAGGGGCTTCAGCACCCAGCCTGGTCTGCTCACACTTGGCACTTTGACCCGCGGCGCGGTTGGGTCACTGCCCTGGCTGCTCCCTCCTCTGCAGCGGCCTCGACTCCCACTTTTGGACTGGGAAACTGACTGACTGACCCCTGAGGTCTGAGCACCCGCATCCGCAGGGCTATTTTCCATCCTGTAGTGGGGGATGAGGGTTGGTGGGGCAGTGGCACCCTGGCCCACAGCCAGGCCCGCCCTGCCCCCACTCCGTGGGGGGAGGACGCAGGAATCAGGCTTTGTCAACAGCCTATGGCCCCTGATCCCGCGCTGGGGCCGTGACCTTCTGCTACTTGCTCTGGTTTCACAAAAACACCCACCCCGTCCCCTTCGGAGGCTGGGAGGCCTCAACCCCACCCATTCAGATCCTGGGAGGAGCTGGGGTGACCAGTGCCGGCCTTTCCTGGTCCATGGGCCACCCACCCATCCCTTAGGGACCCTCCCCCAGCTCCAGATCTGGGAGATTCCCCCCCCCCGCCCCTGGCACCCCGGGGGAAATTGGGCAAACAGCTGAGCTCTGAGCACCCAGGAGAGGTGTGTTCTGCCAGTCAAGGGGCAGAATACGTGCCAGCCCAGCCCTTGTGGGGGAGGGGGTGACTCTTTGGGGGGAGGGGGAGGGCTGGGAAGAAGAAGGGAGCTGAGGACTGGGGGAAGGCTCACCCTCAGACACTGGCACCGGGCCTTCTGTCCCCTGTGCTGGGCTCACCTCGCTGGGGTCTCCCTCCAATCCTGGGCTATCTGCGGGCTCAGTCCAGGGCCAAGAGGGTCCAGGTCCTGGAAGGGAGAAGGCTTGGTCCCTGGCCAGTAGTTCCCCACCCCCACCTGCTCTGCTTGCTTGTGCCAGGAGGGTAATAAGGTGGAAACAGGAGCCCTGCTGCCCTGGCCAATGGGTGCCTCAGAACCAGGGCACCCCTGCATCCCGGTTTCAGTCCTCTCATTCATTCCACAAATATTTATCCCCAGGGCTGACAGGCCTCTGGGGTTTCAGTGTCCCCCAGAGAGGGAGCCTGGACACAGGAGTCTGTCCCTCCCTTCAAGTGGCAAAGCTCAGCTCATCTTCTCCTGCATGATGGGGAGGCAGGGAGCCCCACTTCCTGGGAAAACCCAGGCTCTGAGAAGTTAAATTATTTGCCCTTGGTCCCAGGACCAGAACTGGGCCCCACGATGTCAGCCTTTCCTGTGGGGCCAGCCTCACACCTGGGTGCCCAGGGTGGGGACCCCAGAACCTCAGCCTTGCACAGCAGAGAATCCCTCCACACCCCCACGCTCTGCCCACCCCCAATTCAGAGAAGGGTCTAGAACTCCCCTTGCCTGCACTCCCCTGGAAGGCACAGAGGACTCCACGTCTGACCACCTTCAGCCTCTTGTATTGGAGGAGGTGCTGAGGCCCTGACCCCTAGGGACCTGGGGCTAAGGGTGCCTCCAGCCGGGGTACCCAGCCTGTGATCTACAAGTGCTGAGCTGGAGGAGTGGATCTTCAAGGATTGTCAACCCCACCTGCCAGACCAGGCGTGAGAGTAGGGGGTGAAAAAGGTCTGGGAGGGGCAGCGAAGATGGGGCCCAGGGTACCCATCCCTCTCTCTCCTCTATCCCAGGAGTCTACTTCTCCTTGGGGTTCCCAGACTAGCTGACCCCTCACTGGAAGGCAGGCTACCCCAGGTGTGGTCCTGCCCACCCTCTGTGCACCTGGGCTCATTGGCTTCTAACAGCCCCAGAAGGTCGGCAAGGTGAACTCCTACTTTTCGGATGGGAAAGCTGAGGCCCAGCCAGGCTTGCCCTGGCCACCACGCGGATGTGTGGGCTCTGAGGGGCTGACATTTTGCCTTGGAACTACTCACCCAGCTGTCCTTGCAGTCTCATCCTCTGCCCGCGTCCAACTGCAGGGCCTCGGGGCAGGGGAGAACTTATTGGGCAGTGTCCTTCCTCCCCACGTCCCCTGCCTGCCTGCTCCACTCCAGCCAGCCCTCATCCCACTCCCCCAACCCTGCCCCCAGAGCCTCAGGCCACTCAGGCTGCCTGTCCCCCTGGACCGGCCCCTCCCTTGCCCTCCTCGAACAGCTGGGCCAGTGCTCTTTACCTGCTGGCTCAGTGGCCTGGGAGGCAGAGGGCCGAGCAACAGATCCAACTGTTTGATAAGAATCCAGAGATAAGGCCCCTTGGGTGATCCAAGGGCTGGGGACTCCTGAACTGCCCTTTGTCCTTCACCCGCCTGGGGGCTACTCACCCAAGAGACCTCTCCACTCTGGCTCCTCTGCCCCCAGTCTTCTGACAGCTTTGGGACCAGTAAGATTGTGGCTGCCACTAACACAGAGAGGAGGGGCCCCGGGGTGTCAGGGCCCCCAGACAGACAGCCACAGTCCGTGAAAGCCAGCTCCACTCAGGGGAGATGGCACAGCCCCCACGCCCCTGGGCAGGACCCCCAGGCACAGGCCAGACCCTCAACCCATCACTGGCAGAGTGACTACTTCTGGGGTCCCCCCTCTCCCAGCTCCCACTTCATCAGTAGGACCTGGAGGTTCAGAGGGGTGGTTTTAGGGGGGAGCAGGACACCCTGCTGGTCACGATGGTGCCCAGCCAGGCCTCCTCACTCCTGGGGGTCCCTGCACAGACCCTGCTTCTCTGCCACTCAGCAGCCCCCAGAGGAGCGTGCGCCCACGAGGACCTCTTTGTCCTGACGGTGCCACCCCAGCCAGATGTGGGAGGCCGCTGCCCAGAGGCATGCCCCGCCTCCAGCCATGCTGCCCCCACCTGCTGCTGCTGCTGCTGCTGCTGGCCTGGCAGGTGAGCACTGCCCTTAGCCCCCCTGCCCAGCCCCCAGGCTCCTACCAGCCTGCCTGCCCCTCGAGCGATGCCGGTCTGTCCCCTGTTCGCCCACCTGTGCCCCCAGCCACAGGCCCCCTCCGCTCAGGTGATGGACTTCCTGTTTGAGAAGTGGAAGCTCTACGGGGACCAGTGTCTCTACAACCTGAGCCTACTGCCCCCACCCACGGGTGAGCCCCGCCGCCTGCCCCGTCCGGAAGCATTTACTGGGCTCTGGTCATGGGAAAGCCCTGTTCCCCCCTCCCCCCATTTACAGTTGAAGAAACTGAGCCACAGAGAGGTTAGTGACTGGCCCAGGACCACATACCAGGATGTTTAGAAAATGGTAGAACTGACCCAGAATTGCGGTGCTTTGCCACCTCCCCTGCTGCTGGGCGCCCCCAGGTCTGGGCTAGACACCATCTTTGCTCCCGTGGAGCTCGAGGCCCAGTGGGCACACAGTGTTGGGAGGGAGAGGGGGAGGGAGGGAGGTGGGCAGGAGGTGTGAGCCCCAGAGCTGGTGGTGGATCCAGAAGGATGCCCACAGAATCAGGGTTCAGCTTCCCGAGAGGACACTCGGGAGAGGGGAGACCCTGGGTGGAGGCGCAGGGTGTCTGAGGGGACGTGGCTGGGCAGAACTGGGGCTCAGGACCAGGCTGGACGGTCAGAGAGACCTGGGGGCTGCATGCGGGGAGCGACCCTGTCCCCACCTCTGCAGAGCTCGTCTGTAACAGAACGTTTGACAAGTATTCCTGCTGGCCGGACACCCCTCCCAACACCACGGCCAACATCTCCTGCCCCTGGTACCTGCCCTGGCACCGCAAAGGTAACCACAGTGGGGGTGTGGGGGGTCGGCTGAGAGGACCCAGCCCGGGAGTGGGGTGCTGACCACAGCCTTTCCCCCAGTGCAGCACCGCTTCGTCTTCAAGAGGTGTGGGCCCGACGGGCAGTGGGTGCGCGGGCCTCGGGGGCAGCCG